GTAAGAGGCAAACCTAGATTCAAATCTGGGTCTAACACCAAAATCTGTTCTGTTAGCAAAATAGTATGGTATTGTTATCCTAATTTGCATGAGGTAATAGAGGTTCTGGTCCACAAGGTACTAGTTATATAAAACCTGTGGGGTCAAACGTTACTGAGTTTTCAGGATTTTCATATGTATGAAAAGTAATGTAGGATGTATACTGCACAATACGTAACACCCCCAGCAGAGTCTGGGGCAGCAGCCTTTAACCAGATACATGAACATTTTTCTTCAGCAAAACTCAGCAAGAGTCATACTGAGTGGGTATATAAAGGCTATAAAAAGTCTCACATCAATTTTTTTCAGCTTTGGCTATCAAAAAAGTTATGAAAACATTTTCAGCGTTCCGATCTTTTTGGATTTCCACATTCTTTTATCTGTGGGCTCATCTAGAGTCCAGAGTCCAACTTGGACCTAGGATTAAAACCTAGGTTTTTTACCTTTCTAGGTGATACCTTTTTAGGTATCACCAGATTTTTCCATATGCTTTAATGTAGCATTACTGTACTAACTGTGGTAAACATTAATTTTTACTTGTTAAATCTGAAATGAATTCTTTACCGAAAGGCTATTCATATAGAATTTAGTTCCTCCCAACTTAGAATTCTAACACACTAACTTAATTTCTCATTATAGACTGGCACTTACTTTTCTCTGGGCTAGTTCACTGAGTATTCATTACACTTATCAATTCAATATAATTCAGTCATTATCAGGCCAATATTACTTATAATGGTAAGACTCCAGTGCTTTTAAATATGTCCCTCCATACATTATCATTTTTAAATTTCCCACTGTTACAGGTGAAATGTTTAGTCTTAGAATTTACTTGATAAACTAATGAAAATTTGTGGAAGTTCAGCAGATATGCAGATATTATTGATAATTCATATGGTATTAGTGGGATTCTGCAACTTTAAGATTTTCCAAAAAATCATTTGTTTAGACTCTTTTTTTTTAAGCATACGAGTTTAGAAAATAGTAGTCAAATTTTGGAAACAACTGACCCACAACAGATGGTTTAGGTGCAGCAGTGTGAATGTGCAGTCTTACCACCAAAGAAGAGAGGCCATGACTTACCAGACTTCAATTTAATGTAATTCATAAAGGTTGGTCAAATCCATTGTGATTCATGTGTGAGATGAGCCTAAATGTATTATGTTGTATTATTTAAAAGTGTAAGTTCAAAAAGTTACTAATTGTAACTGTGAACACTGACAATTTATTTTTACCACCAAAACCCACAACACTACCCATAATCTACCAATTCTGAATGCTTAACTTCTTAGATGGACATGAAGCAACCTTACTGGAATGGGGTAGTTTTTGTTGTTCGTTTCAAGAAATGGTCCTATTCAGAGTCCACTGGTCTTAACTATGTTCTGAAACTCTCTCATTTCCACTAAGAATTCTGACAATAAAAAAACCCCAGATATCACGAATATTTTTAGTGAGTGTTCAGAAGTTATTTTAGTCAATTATGTCAATTTCCCCAGTCAATATTTTTCATCTAAGTTCCTAACCAGGATTTAAACCGATTAGTTTGAATTTGACCTTCCTGTACCTTTTGGTATGTACATAAAGATCTGATAGGGATGAAGCAAAGTGGATAAAAAAGATCAAACTTAAGATAAATCACAAATGGATAATCATGACTGCATTTTAATAGTTTCTTAACATACTTATCTCCTGATTTTTTTAACCTTAAAAAAAAAAAAGAGGTAGAAAGTACCATTTATTTACTCCATTATTCACTGATTTATTAGGGAGCCCTATTTTAGAGGCTACTCCTATAAAAGTGGCCCCAGTCCTGAAGAACCTGTGCACAGTCTAATGAGGAGAATGAGATGTAAATTAGTAACTTTTAACACAATGTGGAAAATGCTATTAACTGAGGCATGAGAAAAATACTTCAAGAGTAATTAAGGTCAACTAGGGCTCAAAGAGGGCTTTTTGGGGGAGGTGACACAATAAGTTGGGTCAGTGGCCCAGTAGAAGTTTTCCATGTGGGGGAACATTTTGACAAAAAGAATACCACAAGAAAAGGCCCAGAGTCCAGAACACCACACTGAAACCAGGGATAGGCTCACAACTACACCTGGGACCTCCCACCTGACAAATCAATTTTTTGGGATATCCTATCTTATCCTTATGTTATTTCAAATCCCTCTAAATTTGAGGGACTATTAAAGAAATGGAAGATATCTAAAAATTACTTATTTCACTTATAAAGCTGTGTTCCTAAGCAAATGTTGACCACTTGAAGGCTGCTCTATAAATCGCTGAAGCTAAATCTTATGTGATCCTCCAGAGAGAGGCAGACTGCAGAGCAAAAGGGAACGGTGGCTAGAAAGAAGCAAGGTCAGGAGTTCACTAACGATAAGAAATTATTTATAATTACTAATTTGTTGTCACAAATTTTTTGTTCTCTTTTTTTCCATGTATTTGAAAACCATCTGTCAAACCACCTCAATGGGACTACAGGTAGTCTCCCCAACTGGTCTTGCAGCACATCTCACCTATTCGAGTAGAAAACTGTAGCACTCTGCCACTATAAGGAACCAGAGATTTTAGTAATATAAATAGTGGGAAAAAGCAAGTCACAGAGAACTTACGGACGTCGGGAGTATAACTTGTATAAGATAGTAAAGGCTGCCTGGTAGGAAACAGATTTTAAGGTTTCAAGTGTTTTGAGTCAGTCAAAGAGAACAGGTCAAAGACTGGGTGTCTGTCCTTCTGTCTCTTTTTTCTGGAGCCTTCCACCACAGCCCTGAATCTTCTCTGTGGGGTCTGTGTTGGACATTTCAATCCCACAAACCTTATTTCTCTAACTCTCCAGTCATTGGAGGTTTGCTAATGTAAGACATGCAAAGAATATTCTCATAATATATGACTGCCGGGGCGGGGGGGACAGCAAATGAATTATGTACCATTCTCAGGAGGGAGTACTCCTTTCAAAAATCAATACATATGCAAACCATATTACAAAAGTTGAGAGTATTCACCTGTGTGGAGTTCCCACAAAGGAGCTTTTACTAATGGAGACAGAGTCCAGCAGTCAGGACCTTCACAAAGACCTGCAGTCTTGCTTTCCAAAGACAAGTTAGAGGTTCAAGAAAAACAATAAAAAGCTGAACAAAACTGGAGCAGGACCTCTAAATAGCAATGTTTACAATATAAGCAAAACTATTTAGTTGTCGTTTAAAAAACTGTATCCATAAAAGCTTGGCAGGAGATCAGTCACTGTTAGAAAATCAAGGAAGGATTTAAAAAAGAGGGTTTTTTTAAAAGGATAAACTGATGACTGAAAGCAGAGCTAGACTTTTTTTACCCTTTGGAAAGATACTACTTATTTTTTTTTTTTTTAAGATTTATTTATTTATTTATTTGACAGAGAGAGAGAGACAGCGAGAGAGGGAACACAAGCAGGGGGAGTGGGAGAGGGAGAAGCAGGCTTCCCGCGGAGCAGGGAGCCTGATGCGGGGCTCGATCCCAGGACCCTGGGATCATGACCTGAGCCGAAGGCAGATGCTTAACGACTGAGCCACTGAGGCGCCCCTGGAAAGATATTATTTATTTTAAAGCTGACTCTAAAGAAGTCCTTTTATAAATTATGAGGTATGTTCACTTTCAATAGAAAATAAATATACAGTTAAGACAGAGCACCTATACTTATAAATATCTACACAGATGAGATTACAAAAATATAAGATATGTATGTGTATGGGCAAGGACTAGAAAAGATCATGAATAATGGAAAGAGTTATTTATTAGGGTGGTAGGCTGTGTATAACTTAGCTCATTTATTTCTTTGTTGTTGCTTTAATACATATTAAAAATAAAAAGAGGAAAAGAATCCATAAAAATGCCTATCATTAAAGGTTGTTTGTAGCGGGCGCCTGGGTGGCTCAGTCGCTAAGCGTCTGCCTTCGGCTCAGGTCACGATCCCAGGGTCCTGGGATCGAGTCCCACATCGGGCTCCCTGCTCGGCAGGAAGCCTGCCTCTCCCTCTCCCACTCCCCCTGCTTGTGTTCCTGCTCTCGCTATCTCTCTCTCTGTCAAATAAATAAATAAAATCTTTAAAAAAATAAACAAATAAAGGTTGTTTGTAGCAGTCACATAAATATTGTCACAGATAAAAATAAGTGAGCACTTCCAAAACTATTAAATCATACACAACACTTTCATTTTGGAAAATAGAGCCAGGTAGAAACTGGATTCCAATCTTCACCACTGGATTCCATCTTCACCACTCCGTCCTCCCCCAACCTCTCAAAAGGGAATCAGGACATTTCTTCTGTTTCTGCTCTTTCTCTAATTCCTGACATTACCAAACCTGCTACTCCTAAGGGAAGAAGAAGGGAATATAGAAAACCAAGTTTCCTGAACACCTTTATAGGATTCTGGCCACATCAGAGTCTTGCTGATTATATGGAACTCTGGTCAATTCCAAATTGTTTAGATTAGCCAACCAGCTCACTAGAAAGACACAGAAACATACAAACCGTTTCCATTCCCAAGGACCAGTGGTCAATTAAAATGCCTCTAACATTCTAAGAGCACTAGAATTCCAAAGAAAATTATATAATTTTTGAAGGAAAAAATATCTCTGAATCATAGTTTCTCTAAGCCTCAGAATCATAACTTTTTTGGTAAGGAGTAGTTAGAAGCTCAAACCATGTATGGATTGCATGAATTCTGAATGCTCTGTTCTAAAAACATGGTCGTTCATGAATAACAGAGAGGCAGAAGGAGAGAGAACAATCCAAGTAAAACAGCATTTTTCTAGATTCTGAGGAAATTCCAGATATACAACAAACCCTGCCCTGGGTGTTCCACCTAAAAAACAAACAACAAAACTATGTATGGCTTTTCTCCTCATTCTCCATAAATCTATCCAACAACAAAATATTCCCAATTAATTCAGGACATATCTTGGTATTCTAATTCTTTTTTTTTTTTTCAGAGTTCAGCATGAGTACTTTTATATAATTGAAGGAAATTAAGCCACATATGTTGAAGATGAACTGTTGAGAAAATAGTACATTTTAAAAAGGAGATTCCTATAATCAACTGACCATTCCATTCACATTAAAGCACTCATAACTGAAGTATTTTTATTTCATGTACAATGAGTTGGCATTAAAGTAGGTATCTTGGATATCTGCAGTTAAGGTAGGTTATCTTGGATGACCAATTCAAGGAAGTTCACTTAATCCAACTTAATGAAGCCTATATCCTTCGCGTACTGACGGAAACATTGGCAGCACATATTGAGGCCGTATTTCCGGATGAGACCGTGCCGGCTTGAGCAGACGTGGCAAGAACGAGAACCCTGGCCAAATTTCCTCGGATGGCTCCAGTACAGCTGCTGGTGACCAGTCTTGCTCTCTTGGATGCAACGAGGCAAAAGGTTGGTATTCTAATTCTTAAATAAAGTTAGAAATATACATGGGGTGCCTGGGTAGCTCCGTTGTTAAGCGTCTGCCTTCGGCTCAGGTCATGATCCCAGGATCCTGGGATCGAGCCCCGCATTGGGCTCCCTGCTCTGCGGGAAGCCTGCTTCTCCCTCTCCCACTCCCCCTGCTTGTGTTCCCTCTCTCTCTGTGTCTCTCTCTGTCAAATAAATAAAAATTTAAAAATCTTAAAAAAAAAAAAAAAAGAAAGAAACACACTTAATTTTATGTTAGTAAAAGCTAGTTGCAAATCCGAGGCACAAAAACGTGATTATCAATATTGGGCACTTACTAGGGTATAACCCTAGGAGTCAACACTGTGTATTCATTGTGAATAATTTTCTTTAGTCTGTCTGAAGTACCAGTAATAAATAGCATCTATTTAGGAAAGAAATATGGTTCACGTAAGCCAATGTTATGGGAGGTAATGCTATTTCCAGAGTGAGGAGTCACCAATTTATTCAACAGTGATCCCATTTTCCATTTCTTTCTTCCATAACATCATCAGTCCCAATGCTCATTTACAGAAAAACAGTACTTCGCACACTTCCCTTTGAGTTTAAGGATGAATTGAAATAGTCCTTCAAATCTTTCCCTTCACACAAGGATTTTTAGAGCACAGCTGGAATTCAGGTTAAGAAAAGAGGAAGGACAGCCTGAAACACAGGTGACCAGAACCAATTATTAAGACTGCTTATATGGGGCGCCTGGGTGGCTCAGATGGTTAAGCGTCTGCCTTCGGCTCAGGTCATGATCCCAGGGTCCTGGGATCGAGTCCCGCATCGGGCTCCCTGCTCGGCGGGGAGCCTGCTTCTCCCTCTGACCCTTGCCCCTCTCATGCTGTTTCTCTCTCGCTCTCTAAAAAATAAATAAAATCTTTAAAAAAAAAAAAAAAAAAAAGACTGCTTATATGATGCTCTTTAAATGAAGCCATTAAGAGCTTGACAGATAACTATCTATCTGGATAATGTTGATGAGATCCTTAAAGGCAAAGAATACTCTTTTATGTTACTCGACAGTCCTATAATGCTGTGCTGTCAGCCTAGGATTATAGTAACTCTTTACAGTTCATCAAAAGGCTTTCCAGTTAATTTTCTATAAAGTAAAAATAACATGTTCCCTTCCTCACCATTCCCAAGTTACTTCCTGGAACTTAGCCTTGTCCCCAATGAAGAAAAGAAAATAAAGTATTCATTTTTTTAATCTTAAACAATATTAAAGTATTACATGGTGATAGGTGCTATAGAGGGATCGTCTTCCCTAATTTAAACCATTCAAAAGTCCCTAGGCAATGCCTACACAATTATGCATGAGGCTATCATAAAAATAGACTTCCATATATCATTAGACATAATTTTGGTCGAAAGACATTTGGAAACACTGATTTCTCGAGCAACAGCATCAAAGTCCATCTCCACAAATTGCCTAAGTGGTCTAAAAAGGAGATTGTTGAAGACTGACCCTTTGATTTGGGTGGTATTCTGGCAAAAGCCAATATATGCTACTAGTCAAAATTATGGATGGGTTCTTTGGGAACATAAATACAATTTTAAAATTTCTGACAGGCTAAAGATCAGACAAATCCTGCCCTGTGCAGTTTATCATATAAAGGCATACTTATAAAAAGCTTAAAATGTAAAAAGTTCCCAGTAAAAAATAAAGGGGTGTGTTGTATATGGTATGATGACAGAGTGAGACTTTTTTTTTTTTTTTTACAAACCACACAAGAAATCAGGATTCTTTCTTTCTAGTTCAGAAAGTGCACTGAAATGGTTGTTGGATTTACATCAAACAGGAGGGAAATTTCAAATGCAAGTTTAAAGTTTTTATTGATGACTTGGATGATTTAATTACGTAATGGGGTTGACAGATTCAGGAATCCAAAACATTATAGGACTAGACTGATGTGCCTATTCAAGCAAGATGAAATTTAACAAGGATAAGATAAGGCACTTGGGTCCAAAGAGAATTTATTTGATATCCAAAGTATGTGAAAAATGTAATCCAGTAGTCTGGCTTATAGTATTGTCGTAATTCTTCTTTGTTGGTGCTGTATCTCCAATGACATTCTAGAGACAAACGAGTTACTCAATGGGGAGGTTAACAGTTCTTTCCCCTGAGTCAGGAATGCTATCCCATTCTGTAGCCCCAAAAGTCTTATACATGTCTTAAAGCACACTCTTCCCAATGAGATTTTCTCATTGTCCCAGTTAGAATCCTTTTCCTCCTCCCCTATTCTCCTTCTACATTTTGAGTTTCATTTACAGCCCTTCTAAAATAGCACCTTGGCATAGAGTAACCTGGATCTGTCTATCAACCATGCTTTGAGGCCTAGAGTGCAAGCACCATGGGCTCCTCCAGGTGCTTTCTTCATGAAAAGTACTCAATAATGTTTACTGATTAGCATGCATCTGAATCACCTGGAGCGCTTAATAAAAACAGGTTTCTGGACCTCATGTACAGAGTTCTCAGTAGATCTGGGATGGGAGTAGAAATTTAACATTTCTAAAAAGTTCTCAAGTGATGCTAATGCTGCTGTTCCAGGGATCACACTGTGAAAACCTCTGGGTTAGCTCAACCTCATGAAAAAGAAGTTTATCATACAACTTTTATTCAGCATTTAAACCTTACAATGACTAGAGCACTCTATGTAATCATGAAACGTAAGTAATAAATGTAAAGCAATTACAGTCTCCTCTGTCATCAGTGCCTGCACTCTTGGCATGGCACCCCATTAGTTGACATCCTAATTCGAATGCAGAATGAGCTGGGGCTGTGGGCTCATTCTCCCAGAGAAACCTCTGTTGGAACTCATCCTCCTAAGGCTAAATCAACTGTGCCTTCTTTTTAAAGTTTATCTTCTTTAGTAATCTCTACACCCAGCAGGGAGCTCAAACTCACAACCCCGAGATCAAGAGTCACACGCTCTTCTGACTAAGCCAGCGAGGCGCCCCTCAACTGTGTCTTTTAAGTTAACAAAGGTAGAGTTGATATAGAATTCAAAGAGGCTTTAGAGGTCCAGTCTTCTATTCAATAAACTCCTTTGACAACACCCTTAAGAGATGGTAGCATAGCACCTCCCCATCCCCACCATAAGTGATCTGTGTTTGAGATGTCATCATGGTGAAAAATAATTTCACTTTATCATCCATATGTGAGAAAGTCTTCCTTAAACTAGGCTGGTATTTGTCTTTCCAAGACTTCTATCTACCCACTGGTAGAGGCCCACAATCTCTTGGGGCCATATATTTTATAAGTTAATTTTTCAGAAGTAGAAAAGTAATATAGGACACACATTGTATATTACATATTTCCTTCAGTGGGTCCAGGGCAATACTCCGTAATCAAACACATTTTCATTTTTTTTAGTGAGGCACAAGAATATGCATGGTTAGTGGATTAAAGACTATAAATAACTTCACATTAGCATCAGATTTTGCCACCAAATTTATCAAAAGGCTCAATTTTCAGATATTTTTCCATTCCAACTTTATGAATAAAGGGTTGTGGACCTGTATAATTTTGTTCTCTGTGATTACACAAAGTACGTCTACTTCTTCTTCCACACTAGTAGTCCTTCAGTGATCTGAAGACCACTATCCCATTCCCCTCACCCACCTCCTCCTCCTCCATGTCACCATCTTCTAAATTATCAACTGATAAATTAATTCAGTGTAATGAAAGAGGACTAGGGGAGAAATCAACCCAAAGCAGTCTTCTTTCTTTAAAGTTCAAATGTGCAGTCATGGAGACCACAGGAGGGGCAGTCAAAAGAAGTGGCACTCAATCTTAGAAGACTGTGAAGCTGATGGGCGAGAGGATTCAATTAATTCAAGACATAGGGATGAAGAATTAAATTTTACCTCTGTGATTCCAAAGCAAAGAGGAGAACTTATATTTGTTGATCACAACTTATGTGTTGGGCACTATTTTTGAGGATTTACATACCTGATCTCCAATCCTTACAATGCTCTAGGAAGTAGGAGGTATCATCATTCTATATATGAAGGAATTAACACCTTGAGAAGTTGAATCACTCAAGTCATACAGCAAGCCAACAGTAAAACCAAGATTCCAAGTCTAAACAAGATACTTCCAGAATACCCAAAGGGTACTGATGATGAACCCTCAGTAAGTCTGTTCTTAGCCCTGCCTCTACATACATTTTAATCGGTGACTTTAGAGAGGATGAAGATGCCTGCCTTGCATATTCCAATAGGACAAGAAAATGGGAAGAATAAAAAAGATGGAATCTGGGGTGCCTGGGTGGCTCAGTTGGTTAAGCATCTGCCTTTGGCTCAGGTCATGATCTTGGGGTCCTGGGATGGAGCCCCACATCAGGCTCCTTGCTCAGCAGGGAGTCTGCCTCTTCCTCTGCCTGCTGCTCCCTGTTTGTGCTCTCTCTCTCTGACAAATAAATAAAATCTTTAAAAAGATGGGATCATTAGAGCCAAAATGGCTAAAAATGTTCAAGTGACATTGAGGATACTTAATGTTAAACTTTGCAAGTTGACAGGTTCATACACCAACATGCTGTAAGAAGACGGAAGTTTCAGTTGCCCCAAATTAACTTTGAGTCCAGGTGTCAAGAGGTGATTATAACTCTAAAACCTGTGGCTACATTAACAGGACTCTAATGTCCAGAATGAAAGATGCCACACAGATCATCCCTATGCTGTAGTGGTCAAACCCAATGCGAAGTGCCAAGTGGTTCAAACCTCAAGGCTTTAACGGCATCAAAGCAAAACATGTAATAGGAGGGGGATCAGAAGGGCAAAACATCCAAAACCAGAGGCCTGAAGAATGAGGTATGTTTGGGTCGCCTGGGACAGTGAAAAGGGGTGGGAGGAAGGCGATCCCAGTAGTCTCAAATACATACGAAAGAGTGATCCATTTATTTTCAGTGATGGTGTCCCTGCCATTAGGGGTGGAGGA